CAGCCTCCCACCCTATCCCCCACTCCCTTCCCCATAGGGGATATCCAGAGTCTGTCATTTCGTTCAGGGCAGGGCCTAGACCCTCTCCCAAGAGTCCAGGCTGAGAGAGCATCTCTCTTTGTGGTATGAACCCACAAAGTTCATTTGTATGCCAGGGGTAAATACTGATCTACTGCCCAGGGCCCCATAGGTTGTCCAGGCCTCTTCACTGACACCCACATTCAGGGAGTCTGGATCAGTCTCATGCTGGCCTCCCAGCTGTCTATCTGGGGTCCAAGAACTCCCCCTTGTTCAGGTCAGCTGTTTCTGTCACTAGGTTCCAGGGGTTCAGTTGAATGTTTAGTTGTGTTTGCCTCTGCTTCCATCAGTCACCGGATGAAGGTTCTAGAATGGTGTATAAGGTAGTCATCAAACTCATTATCAGGGAAGGACATTTAAGGTAGCCTCTCCATTGTTGCTTAGTTTGCCAGTTGGTGTCATCCTTGTAGGTGATCACCAGCTTTAAAAAGTCTCTTGTGTATTCATATCATTGATCCAACTGCCTCCTCGGCAGTTTTAAACTGAGCCAGACAGGTTTTTGACATTGATGCTATCAGCATATCCTTGTCTTCTCTGAGTTATTGTCACAGCTGATTCTTTATCTCCCCATGGTGTTTTGCGAATTTACGTTAGGTAGTGCACAGAGTGTGTCTCACTACGATGCTTGCGTGTACACAGGTCTCTGCAGTTTCTCGTGTTCAAGTCTTCTTGCTCACCTTTGTCACCCACCCTCCCTCACACAGGTCTGCCCTCCCTAAATAGTCTCCCTTCTGCGTGTGCATCCCGTAGGAGAACAAGGACACAATGTTTGTAACTCTCACTACTCTCTCTTGTTCCTCTCGTTCATTTTCTCCCAGAACTCCTGTTTAAAAACAAAAAAAAACTGAATACAAGAACACATATTCCCAGTATTGGGGAGGCAGAGACAGGGGGATCCATGAGGTTGCTGGCCAGCCAGGCTGGCTAAATGGCAAGGAAGTTCCAGGTTCAGTGAGAGAACCTATGTCAGAAAAACAAGGTAGGAAGCAACTGAGGAAAACAATTGAGTTGACCTTTTATTTATACACACACACACACCTAGAAATCCCTACATGCTATATGTTTTGGAGTTGGGAACTCAGTAGGAATAATCTAGGAATAAAAGAAGCTAACATAATGATATTCATTAGAAAATATTTTCAATAGAATAAACACCAATATAAGGCTATTTATGAGAGAGGAGTGATGAGCAAATTGGCAAAGAATGGGCTGGCAAAACCAGCAAAGGCAGCTGATCTGAACAGGGGAGAGCTCTTGGACCCCAGACTGACAGTGGGGAGGCCAGCATGGGACTGATCTGGACCCCCCAAATGTGAGTGTCAGCGAGAAGGCCTGGGCAACCTATGGGGCACTGAGCTGTGGATCAGTGTCTATCCCTGATATACAAACAGTCTTTGTGTGCCTATAGCACAAAGTGGGATGCTCTCTCAGCCTGGACTCTTAGGGGAGTGCCTGGACCCTACCCAGAGTAAAATGACAGACTCTGATATCCCCTATGTGGAAGGATTTGGCAATAGGGTGGGAGGGTGGGGGAGAAGGTGAGTGCGGGAGGAGGGGAGGGAGAGGGAACTGGGATTGACATGTAAAACAAGCTATTTAAAATTTTAAAAAATGATATGATAAAAAAGAAATTTATAACATTACAAATGTTAGAAATTAAAAACTAAAGCTATAAAATTATGAGCTAAGCTTCCATCTTAAAACATTATAGGAAAAATGGATAAATTAATCCAAGTAAGATAAAAGAAGAAAAACAAAACACATAAGAGCAAAACATGCGGAAACAGAGTAGAACCTGACAGAAAAGAACGAGAAAGAGAATGGCCAGGCATCATGGCTCATGCCTGTAATTCTTGTAGAGAAGGAAAGATGGGACATGATTGGAAAGAGGTATGCTGTTTAATGACAGTTTAAATAGTACACAGTTCAATGCATTAGGATGTCAGTGTGAAATCACCAAACCATGTATTATCTAAACTGAGTTGTGAGGGAATGGACATTAAATGATTATTTTTATAGACTCTTATGTGTTTTATGTGTACAAGTTCAAACACATGTCTTTTGCAACACGCTAGACGCATTCTCTACTACTGAATCACACCCTCAGAATCTATAAGCTATGTTTGCAACAATAGATGATAGATATATAGATGATGATAGGTTGATAGATGATAAATCATGATGATAGACAGACAGACAGACAGACAGATAGATGATAGATAGATAGATAGATAGATAGACAGACAGATCTTACCTAATGGAGAGGCTATATGTTAATTAGTATTATCTCTAATACCCAAGGTCATAGAAAGTAAGAAAGTGCTCTCTTTTGCATGCCTTTTACAGGTATTTATGATTCTTAATATCTTCTGTTATTTTCTGAAGCATGCATAAGGCCTCTACTTTGATTAGAAATACTGTCCTACACAACAAAGAAGACTCTGCTCAGCATAAGAAATGATAACAATGTTGTCATCAGCTTGAAGTCCAGTAGATAAGCAAGTACAAAGGCCCTGTACATCCCAGTCCTGATCACATGAATGGGAACCATGGAACCACAATCCAGAGGAGACAGCTGGTCACTGGATGATTGCCCTGTTTAGTCTAATGGCAGGTCTGGGACTGGGCCCCAAGGGGCATTGCACATGAAAATCACCACCTTTTTGTGTCTCTTAGGTCTGAGGAGTCATTAAAGACCTGAAACTTCAGCCTATGAACAAGACAGACACTGCAAGAACAGTCATATTTTCTTGGGGTGACAATGAGGCAATGAGTTCCAGCACCTTGGTGGTAAAGGTACTGTGTGAGACTGGGGTATGGGACAGGGAGGGAAAACAGAATCTACCTACAACTCATGGAACATGTCTTCATACACACACACAGTGCGTAGGTACTTTTTTCTTCCTCCTTTTCCTTTCTTTTTGGCAATCATTTTCTGGCCCTTCTGATCACCATGAAAGGCACCTAGAATAATATGTCACTCCTAAGACCACCTCCGTCTTCAATTTTAATTCATATTAGTAAAAATACTTGATATTTGTGAGATTCTTCTTGGTTCAGCATTTTACTGGCAAATAACTGAAGCCTCTCCTATCCATTACTGGTGTATTATAATACTATTTTGGTTGTAATTGTTAAGTCACCTGACAAGTTGATGCATGCTTTCCATATGCCAAAAATGAATGCTTTTCCATGGATTACTCTAAGATTCACAACTACTAAAAGATGAAGGGGGTGATGGAGATGGTGCCAATAATTCTCACTTAATATTGGCACTATAAACCCAACCTCCAGACAGTAAAAAAGGACAGGTAAACACACCTTCTTGTATTGAAGTTAGCAATAATTCCAATGATATTTTACTGAGTACTTTCTATGTGTTAGATTTATTCTAAATAATTTAAAACCATCAAGCTTAATTGTCGTAGCATTCTATACTATTATGTTATCATCCCACTTAAACAGATTTGAAAAACAAAGTCAGAGAAGTAAATGATGTTCTCAACATCTGTACTGTCACACTGTGAGAGACCACTTATTTTAATCACTGCATTAAACACTCATGAAATTCTCACCAGCTTTTACTGAATGTTCATTTACACCTCCACACCACTGAGCAGCAATGCTGTAATTTCTCCTTTGGGTTGTTCACAATGATTCATGAAGAAACTTCAGATGATCCCAGCATTTGGGCTTCTCAGCAAACTTCTCAGGTAAGGTTTTCAATCTACATTTTGTGGGTCAGAAAAGCAACTTGAAAGCATGTGAAAAAAAGAACTGGGAACGCGTTAACTGATGCTTCCCATTGAACTGTGTCCCAGGCTCCCATCTCACCACTGACTATTAATCCTGGCAATGACGCCTGCACAAGCACAGAAACTCAGCTTTTCATGGCGCTTGCCTCAGTAATGATGACACACTATGGAGTAGTCACACATGCAAATGAAGAGTGATTCAGAGAGGAAACAGCTGACAGGGTCAGCCTGAGAATGAGGAGCACAAAGAGGATTGCTTTCTGGTGTCTAGGAAATCGTAATCGTAAAGCGGAAAGTGTTGATGATGAAGCCCAGGATGAAGGGGAAGTGATGCATCCTAATGATGTGTTGTTCAGGTTGCATTAACTCACTACAGTGGTGATGAGAAGCAAGGGGCTAGTGTCTGCCAGCATGTCTGTCTCCGCTCCCTTCCTTGTGAAGAAATCGTTCTGGGGCAGTGGGGGGCAGAGGGAGGGTCTGAGGGAGAGAGAAAGAGAACCTTTTGGCTGTCCTTTAAATTCTAGTGATAAATTACCTTAAATGGACTCTAACCTAAGTCATTGAAGTTGAAATAATACTAAGTGCCTTTATAAAGGAGCCAAGATTGAAGAGGTATGAATTCCACAGAACTAGAGCAGTGGCTCAGCAATTAAAAGCACTAGATATTCTTACAGAGGACCCAGTTCAGTTCCCAGCACTAACACAGCAGCTCCAGTTCCAAGGTGTCCAATGCCCTTTGGGCACCAGGCATACACATGGCACACATACATGCATGTAGGCAAGCAGAACAATCATGTGCACACGCGTGCGCGCACACACACACACACGTATATATATAGAGGGGGGGAAATATATGACAAAAACATCCAGTTTAGCCTCATTCGCACAGTCTTGGGGAGAACTTGCAGTAATACAGTGATGGAGAAGCCAATGTTTCATCACAACCAGACACACATATTCACAGTAATAGTCATGTATTTACAAATGAGGTTACAAGCACTAGTCACTCCCACCAGAATGAGCCTGATCTTAGAAAGTTACAAGCACTAGTCATTCTTAGTGGCCTTTAAAGGAGCAAGGGACTATCAGCAAGGGACTTTTTAAAAAGCCCACTCACTTAACTGTAACCCCTTGCTGATCTATCTGCCTTAGAAGGAAACTAGAAACCAAACGGCCGTCTCTGACTTTTTGCTTATGGGCTTTTCTGGGCACCCAGAGCAGCAGCTTCTCCTCTTCACTGTCTTCTTGGGAATGTACCTGGTCACCCTGTTTGGGAATGTGCTCATCATCCTGGCCATTGGCTCTGACCGGCTCCTCCACACACCCATGTACTTCTTCCTGGCCAACCTGTCCTTCATTGATACCTGCTTCACCAGCACCATTGCCCCAAAAGTATTGACCAACATCCAAACTCAGCATCACACCATCTCCCACACTGGGTGCCTTCTGCAGATGTATTTCTTTATGGTACTGGCCATGCTGGATGACTTCCTGTTGGCTGTGATGGCCTATGATCGCTATGTGGCCATTTGCCTTCCTCTGTACTACACCACTATCATGTGTCCCCAAAGATGCCTATTTCTGGTGGTCGTATCCTGGCTCTGCTCCAACCTCCTGGCCTTTCCTCTCACACTCCAGATGGCTCAGGCCTCCTTCTGTGCCTCCCATTCCATCCCACACTTTTTCTGTGATCTTCTCCCACTCCTCAAGCTTGCTTGCTCAGACACCCAGACCCTTCAGCTCATGATGTTTGCTGAAGCTGCCCTCTCCGGCGTGGTCCCTCTCACCTGTGTCCTGGTATCTTATGCCCACATCACGCACACCATCCTTAAGATCCCCTGTGCTAAGGGAAAGCATAAAGTCTTCTCTACCTGTGGCTCACATCTGGCTGTGGTCACTCTGTTCTATGGAACTGTCTTTCTGGTGTATTTCCAGCCATCATCCTCCTACTCTGCAGACACTGGAATAATGGCATCCATTGTTTATACAATGGTCACTCCCATGCTCAACCCTTTTATCTACAGCTTGAGGAACAAGGACATGAAGGGAGCTTTGTGGAAACTTGTTGGCTTATAAACACTGTAATCTGTAAATGGTACTTCAGAGTCAAAGCCCAGTTCTTATAGGACAATTTTTGAGTAACTCTAATTCAATACAAAAGTGGATGTTCAGCGTCACAGACATGTTTAACCAGCAGAGAGTGCCTGACAGGGCAGGACTCGACAAGGACTAATGAGTCACACATAGAGTTTTGGCCTAGAGGGACTGGAAATCCCTACAGGACCTCAAGACAAAAATGACACAAGACAACTGCAAACAAAGGAGACATTTTCAGGGTTATTTAATGCCCTTAGTGATGATGCCTTCTAAGCCTGAGCTCACCAACTGTCAGGAAGATTTTTCAGTGCTGGATTGAGAGGAAGAACACGGATGGTCTGTGTTCACTAATTGGCTTTACCAAAAAGAAATGTTTTAATGACAGGATGGGGTTTTGCAACTAGGAACAAACATTGCCCATGAAACTTGGGACTCTACCTACTGCAGAGCCTAAGAAGTACACGCCATCATGCTTTACAGTCCATCTTTAATAGATGGTCACCATGTCCTCGGGAAAGGCATCACTGGACTGTGAAAGTATCAAGAGGCTATTGAAGATCTTTTGAAAAGCAAGTTATGAATACAGGGTTTGGGTTCTCATCTTTGTTGTTTCACTTTTCTGAATCAGGATCTTTCTTTATAACCAAGGCTGCCTGGCACTTAATATGCAGCTGAGGGTGGCTTCAAACTTACCATCCTCCTGTTTCAGCCTCTGGAGTGCTGGAATTACAGGTATGTGCCACCACAAGCAGCATCATGCAGGTGTGGTGATTTGAGCAAGAATGGCCCCCAGAGGCTCATTTATTTGAATGCTTAGTCACCAGGGATTCGAATTCTTTGACAGAATTAAAAGGATTAGGAAATGTGGTCTTGATGGAGAAAGTATGTTTAGGGGCAGGTTTGAGGCTTTGCCCCTCTCTCTCTCTCCTCTCTCTGCCTCTCTCTCTTTCTCTCTCTCTGTCTCTGTCTCTCTGTCTGTCTCTATCTCTCTGTCTGTCTCTGTCTGTCTGTCTCTCTGTCTCTCTCTCTGTCTCTCTCTGTCTCTCTCTGTCTCGCTCTCTCTGTCTCTGTCTCTGTCTCTCTCTTTCTCTCTCTCTCTCTCTCTCTCTCTCTCTCTCTCTCTCAATGTAGCTCTCAGCTCTGTTACTGCTCTAGCAGCCTACCGTCATGTTCCCTGCCATGATGATAATGAACTAAGTCTCCGGAACTGTAAGTGAGCCCCTAATCAAAATATGCATTTTCCTTTACAAGAGTTGCCATGGTCATGTTGTCTCTTCACAGCGATAGAACACTGCCTAGGACAATAAGCTTGCTAAAGTAACCTGCGTAAGGACTGAGAGCAGAGACCTGGAGTTGAGAAAAGATTTTCCTAAACTAGGTAGTAACCACTATCCAAAATATTCAAACCAAAGAGTGGCAACAACCAAAATCATGATGTCTGAGCACCTAGGATTGAATCTAACACCCAGTAAGCAGCTTGGTCTATAGCTAAGACATCACTCAGTAAAAAGAAACGTGGACAGAAGTTAAAAGAGTCAAGTGCTCTAGGCCACAGGGTCATTTCCAAGTATGACCTTGGAAGAAGTTAATTCACAGAATTGGTTTGAAAACATACTTTCTTACTGAGACTAAGAGAGAAAAATTTATTCTAGAAATGGAAATGAGGTATCAATGGGTAAGAAGACTGTTCCCAAGAAATTCAACTAAGATCGTGTCAAAGGTTCTGACCATGCACAATTGCTACCTATCTAAGAAAGACTTGTCTTTCCATTTTCTCTCTCTACTGTGTTTGACTCTGTTGCAAAATAATATATGCATATTCTTACTATAATGCATAAAACAGGAAAGTTAAAGTACTCATCTGTCACTCCTCCGTTTTAAGACCCCCATTTATGTTGTCACTCTGTCCTTATTTTCTAGTTGCTTCTGCTTTGCTTTGATGAGGAAAAACTGCAGGGACAAGTCCTGTCTGTTTTCTCACTTGGTCTGTGTCTGAAATGGACTCCTGAGTTGGATCCAGCAAATATTAAGAAGATTATTATGGGATGTGACTGATATTTTCTAAAAAAAAACTAAGAATTTAATCTTAAGTTACATATAAGACTTTAGACTCACAAAGATAGGATAGATGATGGAAATTTGTTTTGTTTAGTTTATGTCTTTTTAGAGTCTGGTAGCAAGGTGAGCCTTAGCTGCTGCTATTAAATTGACAAAGCTCCCACTAGCCTAGTCGTCAACACCATCAGAGGTCTGAGAAGGGTAGATCTCACCAGAGTAGGCAGCAAGTACAGACCGAGAAGTTTCTGATTCTACTAAAAACTGGCAGAGACTTATCAGCTACCTGGACAATCACCCTAGTTTCCATGGTCCTAGAGGTCCCAGGGCAGCATCAGGCTTTGGCTTCCAGGCCCAGATGACAGAACAGACTTTCCTGTGCAGGAAGAATTTGGGGGACTGGCCTACCTTATCCATGCAAAGCCAGTCAATCAACTCTCCAGTGACCTGCTTGTCCACAGTTTGAACAGGGTCCTGGGGGTGGGCAACATGAAGGGCAATATTTTAACCCAGTGGCTAGCTTTGCCATATTTAAAGCAAATTCTAGGTGGAGTTCTTCTGTGACATCATCTTCTTTGGGGAACATCTTAGGGCTGCTTCCAGGAGATGACACTTCTCGATGTCACAGGAAGCTTTTTTATTGTTATAATTGTTAAATGTTTTAAATGCCATATTCAGCAAATCTCTGAAGAGTTTGAGGACCATCTATGTGTTAAGTATAACTAACCTAAACTAACTCTGATTGTTTCTAGTTTCTTGTTTTAGGCTTAACTTTGAAAACATGTACAGGAGGCTAAATACAACTTATTTCTATAGTCAATTGCATTAGTACGAAGCATGACTACAAGTATAGTTCTGAACACATTAAAGAATTTGATCATTAATAAAGTAACTGTTAACTTGCATATCTTAATTATCTTTAATTAAGTTAGTAGATTTTATAAGATTAGGATTTTATACCTTTATTCCTGTTATGTTTGAGCCTTAAAAATAACAATTTTTGAATTAAAGCTCTTTTAGTATCAAAATAAAAATTTAATCATAGGAATACTAGTAACTGATCCTTTCATAGTGCACTATACAGTGCTAAAGCTCAGAGATTTTTTTTCTAGTCCCAACCATTTGCCTGCAAATTTCAAGGAAGCTAGACAAGTATTACTGTGGACCCGAGTATACCTTAGGAATTTAGATCTCTTGATTATCAAATGTACCTTATTTAAAGACATATGCTGTTATTTATGTGAATTTTCTAGCAGCTCGGTGCTGAACAGTTAGCAAAGATGCAAGTAGTCATGTGTAAATGTCTAAGTCATTTTTGATTAATCTCAGTAGACATTTACAACCTTAAAATTTTATCATTGTATACAGCATATACTTTTTAAGTTGTTTTTATTGAATTGTACATTTTCCCCACTCTCCTTCCCTCCTCCCATCTTACCTTCCATCCTCCTCCATATCCCCCATGGTCCAAATTTACTCCAGATATCTTATCTTCTTTCTCCTACCTAGGTGAATCCATGTATATCTCTGTTAGGGTCTTCTTTGTTACCTAGATTCTCTGGGGTTGTGAACTGTATGCTGGTTATCCTTGACTTTATTTCTAATATCCACTTAAGAATGAGTACATTTTATATTTGTCTTTCTTTGTCTGGGTTACCTCACTCTGGATGGTTTTTTCTACTTCCCTCCATTTGCCTGCAAATTTCAAGATGTTATATATATATATATATATATATACATATATATATATATGAGTAGTAGTTCATTGTGTAAATGTACCACATTTTCTTTATCCATTCTTTGAGGGGCATCTAGGTTGTTTCCAGGTTCTGGCTATTACAAATACTGCTGCTATGAATAAAATTGAGCGAATGTCCCTGTGGTGTGAGTGTGCATCCTTTTGAGTATATGCCCAAAAGTGGTATTGCTAAGCCTTGTGGTAGATTGATTCCCAGTTTTCTGAGAAACTGCCGTACTGATTTCCAAAGTGACTGTACAAGTTTGCATTCCCACCAGCAATGGAGGAGCATTCCCCTTTCTCCACATCCTCTCCAGCATAAGCTGTCATCAGTGGTTTTTATCTTGGTTATACTGACAGGAGCAAGATGGTATCTCGAAGTTACTTTGATTTGCATTTCCCTGAGGACTAAGGATGTTGAGCAATTCCATAAATGTCTTTCATTCATTTGAGTTTTTGTTGAGAACTCTGTTTAGATCTGTGCCCCATTTGATCTTTTGATGTCTAATTTCTTGAGTTCTTTGAATATTTTGGAGATCAGCCCTCTGTCAGATGTGGGGTTGGTAAAGATCTTTTCCTGTTCTATAGGCTGCTATTTTGTCTTACTGACCATGTCCTTTGCTTTACAGAAACTTGTCAGTTTCAGGAGGTCCCATTTATTAATTGTTGCTCTCTGTGTCTGTGCTACTGGTGTTCTATTTAGGAAGTAGTCTCCTTTGCCAATTCATTTAAATCTGCTTCCCACTTTCTCTTCTATGAGGTTCAGTGTGGTTGGTCTTATGTGAGGTCTTTGATCCATTTGGACTTCAGTTTTGTGCATGATGATAGATATGAATCTATTTGCATTCTCCTATATGTCAACATGCAGTTATGCCGGCACCATTTGTTGAAGATGTTTTTTTTTTCCATTTTATACTTTTAGCTTCTTTGTCAAATATCAGGTGTTCTTAGATGTGTGGATTGATGTCAGGGTCTTTGGTTCAATTCCATTGGCCCACCTGTCTGTTTTTATGCCAATAACTAGCTATCTTCATTACTGTAGCTCTATAGTAGAGTTAGAAGTCAGGGATGGTGATGCCTCTAGATGTTCCTTTACTGTACAGACTGTTTCAGCTATCCTTGGTTTTTTGTTTTTCCATATGAAGTTGAGTATTGTTCTTTCAAGGTCTGTGAAGAATTGTACTGG